AATCGTGCAGTGTATGGGCACCTTAAGACATAGTGGCCAGAGGGAGAAACCACAGCACCCAGTGGGACACACACTATGCAATGCATCTGGAAGTGTTGGATACCAGTGGAACCCAAGCTTAATAAAGAAAGCAAAGATCTCACTCATCACCCACTGGGGGTAAGTATTCAGCAAGAGACACTGTTGCTTTAAACATGGACTGTTCTTGAAATCAAGAATATTTGGTTATCCTGAGGTGCTGTCTATAGGTTGATGATCTGCATCAATTAAGCTTTGTGATGCTTTTAAAGCCCAATAGGCAGGTCATTCACTTACAGGCCTGCCTAACAAAATTGGCACATATCTAGAAGTCCTTACTACTTTTAAAGAGGTATATTTGGCTATATTCCAAGTGTGGAGGAGGAATGTAAATGGAAGCAAGAATACACACCAGTGCAAATATACAGCAATTATTGAACATATAGCGTTCTTGCTTGTCCATTTGTACATTAAAGACTATAAAGTCAATGGTCTTGTGGACAAGTAGACTGATTGCCCTGGAATAAGTGGAGTATGTAGAGTGGAAAAAGGGGTTTAGACCAGGGCCTATGTAGCCAAGGTTCTCTGTCCTGGGTAAGATGTATTTTCTGTAGACAGTAAATTCCAGGATGACCAAATACTTGCAGGATGCAGAATTCAACACAGTCAGTAGTATGCGGGCCCTCAGTGCACACAATACCCACATATTGTGTGCACTGAGGGCCCGCATGCTTCTCAGGCGATTTTCAAAATTGTTGTTCGTTAGGGAGTTAGAGGTCATTTGGCGTGAGATAACTTTAACCTCCCTTTCCACTAGTGGAAGCAGTGAAGCAAAGGTAGTCAAACTTTCCATAACATAAAAAATCTGTCAGGTGTCAAAGCATCACCACTGATACAATGTGTGGTTCAGTGTCATTGAATGATGTGCATTGCAGTGTCATTCATTTTGAAAGGTACACAAAGCACTAAGCCAATGCACCTGTGCTGCAGCGCACCACAATGGATGGTAACACACTACCATGCAATGTGGTGCACTGCATGAAAAAAATTGTGCAGTTCTCATTTTACAACCAATGTGGTGCAATGGCAGCCAATTCAAATGAATTGGCTGTCTTACAACACCATGCATTAATGAACAACACATAGGAGTGAAAGAGCCGTTTCTTGAATCAGTGGCACCTGGAGACCACTACATGTTACACTGAACCAGTTATGTCACTTTTCCTGATACCATGGCTAAGCTCTACTGTACCTACTACCATTCCATTGTCCAGTGCGGGCTCCTGGCTTTTCTGATTGGTCATTGGAATAGCAGTTGGCAAGACTCGGCCATTAATTTGGGGAAAGTCAGCAACGTTAAAACAAAAAGGGGTGCAAAGAAGAAGCCTATGGGGCTAATAAAGGTAATAGCAGGCATCATTTGCTGTCTGCTTACAGAAAGGATTTATACTTTTAAAAAAGTAAAACAGAGTACAGGTTCTCTTTTGGAAGTGTTATTTTTATGGTTGCTTTAACTACTCCACTTTGTATATTTTCATTCCCCTTTAAATGCCTCATTAAACCAGCGCGGTATGTCCATCCAATGATGCTTCTGTTTTACAAGGTGCCTGTGGCAGGTTGCATAGCTTAATCCATTTTTACTACTAGAAAGATTTCTCCAGTGTAATAATAACATATTCATGTTGTTTTCCTCATGTAGCATCTCACCCACCATTACCATCTGTTCACATTTATTTAACCCACTACCGTCCCCATAGATTTATACAAATCAGGCAGGAGACTATGATTAGAAACGCATAAGCAATTTAGAGTAAATACATATGATGCTTTAGCCACAGCAAAACTACGAACGGCCATCAATGATTTCAGTCAATGATTAAACAGGGACTTAGTCAAACATGAAAATGTTGTATTTAAACTAAATCGAGTGCACAAGACCTACTGGCTGGACTTCTCTCATTTTCATCTTGGCATTCATCTTGTGCAATTGGCTGCCTTCTGATTAATTGCTATAGTCATTGTTATATCCCTCTTGGGAATAGCCCTGAATCCCACTAAGGGGTCTATTCACTAAGCTGCCGTAGGCAGCCGAGTGAACAACCGACCCCAAGTGAAGTGACTCGAACGCTGTTCAGCATGTTCGGCCGACCCGAAGTGCAGAAGGAGTTCGACAACATCTGGATTGGCTAAGCCGATCCTCTGGCAGGCTACTCCCTGCTTTTCGATCTATTCTAATAGAGGCCGAACAGCAGTGAGTAAATAGCCGAATGCCGCTGAGCGAGTGAACCTTTCTGGGAGAAAGTGTTTCTCTCCAGGGCGGCCGGGAGCCTACTAGGCTCCCAGAGCGTCCGGGGGATGAATGACAGATGCGTTCCTGGTTACCAGGTAACCAAGAACGTAATCTGACATTACACACTGAGAACACGGAGAGGCCGCTGTGATATCATAGCGGCCCGGCCGGGTTCTCAGTGTGTAATGACAGCGTCCCTGGTTGCCTGGTAACCATTGACGCTGATCTCTGTGCAAGTGGCCGTAGCCAGCCGTGAGATGACGGCTGGCTCCGCCCAGCTGTCTGAAGCAGGCTGTCGGCCAACTTCGGCTTTCAACGCGGCTCAGCCGAGCCGAGGCATATGCCTTCGGCTCGACTGAGGCGCTCGGCCAAGTTCAGGAGCTGTACGGGCTATAGTGAATAGCCCGTACAGTAACCCTTCGGTTCTACTGAACCGAAGGGGTCCTGGGGCCGCAGCTAGCCGAAGGATCTGCCAAAGCTACGGCTAGATCCTTCGGCTGCTTCGTGAATAGACCCCTAAATATACAGTGTTTCCTAGTTCCAGGACCCTTCTTTAACAGAACCCACTATTTATATGTGTTTCCTAGTTCCAGGACACTTCTTTAACAGAACCCACTATTTTCTCTCCCACAGTGCTCAATGACAGGGGGCTAAACAGCAAAGAAATGTAAACTGAGGCTGCAAGAATTGGATTTTAAAAGGTGCCAATAGTCTAATAACGCTTACGTTAAAAAGTTCATATTTTCTGGCATTGCGGTATCAAAAAAGGTAGCCATAAAATAATTGTATAAAAGTATATGGGTATAGTGCGGTTACAATTTTATACAAGCAAATTTCCAGTGCCCCTATTGGCCATAGATAACATTACTTTACAGATACAAGATTTGATATGTTTAAATATACTCTCCTAGGTCTATGATGAGTTCATCAACATCAATGGTGTGATAGAAGTGGCCAGCTTTCAATGTGTTTCACAATAAGCTTCCTCAGCATAGGGGGCCATTTTTAAGTTCACAAACATGTATATATTGTTTGCTGCATATACAGGACGAAAAACTCACCAACCTAGAGGGGCTGTATTGAGGGAGAGGAAAAAGACAAGAAATCTGCTAAATTGTGTCTGAGCCTGTATTTATAGTGCTCACAGTGCCATACAAAAATTCCCACTTGAATATTAATATCTTCACATTTCACCATAAGTGGGATCAGCAGGGGCCAGTACATTAACATGGTTTATATTTTAGCAACCTAAAGATCATCTATATCATAAATCCTAGCCCAGCCTTCCAGGCAGTGAGAGAAGGACAACACCACTCTCCAATCCCCCAAACCCAGGTAGCAGCACTGGGGGAGGAGCTGAAACGCATTGAGAACTGTCCACGTTTTTCACACCATTGATGTCAATGAAGTCATCATGTACCCAGGAGGGTGTATTTAAAAAATCTGAAATCATGTTCCTGTAAAGTATATGTCATCTATGGCCAATAGGGGCACGTGTGTTTATATGTGTTTATTTGAAATTGTGACAGTGCTATACGCATATACTTTTATGCAATGATTGTGTGGCTACCGTTTCTTATACCACAATACAATAATGAATTGTATTGAATTTCTAGACATAAGCGTTATTTGACCGTTGTGACCGTAACAATTCCATTCCTTTAATAGTTTTATAATCATTTCTGTCCTTCAGGGAAGGAGAAGACCTTCAACAGCGAAGAGAAGACCTTGCTCGCAATCAGTTTTCCAATTCATCCCAAAGGTGTTCAGTAGGGTTTAGGTCAGGGCTCTGAGTAAGCCATTCAAGTTCCCTCACCAAAGAGGTTTAATTTGTGTTTTTTGCCATTACTGCCATGGTTTTACAAGTAAATAAAGAAGGCGTTATGTACCATCCAGTGTGCCATCATCCATCTTCTGTCATCGACGAGCTGGAGGAGCACCCACTTCTCAGAGGGCAAGGGTGGGCTGAGCTGGTGCAGTATCTTTCTTTTAGCATTCTAATACCTTAGTGGTAGTTCCAGTTTAAAATTAATTCCTAGTTTACTCACAGGAGGAAGCAGCCATTTACACCCATTTTAGTTTACAAGGGAGCTAATAAAGGTAGCAGCCCTTCTTTGTTAAGCTGGCCATACACCTATAGATCATCTGCAGATTTCTATGGTCAGATGGAAAAAGTGCAAAAGACCTCTCAAAACACCTGAACAATGGCTGCATCCAATCAGATTGTTCAGGTATTTTGACAGCCAGCAGGGCCGACTAGCAAGATACTGAAGCTTGGCCCAATGGGAGTTTCCTCCATCCACACAGTTTAGCGTAGATGGAGGAATCTTTTGCACTTTTTCCATCTGACCACAGAAAATCTGCAGACAATCTATCGGTGTATAGCCAGCTTTACTTCATAACAGGGTCTGTATTGGTAAGCTGGGTTTATTCTTTTTATAGATATTCCCTTTTAATAATGAACACTTAAAAGTACTTAGGGGAGACAAGATTGATAAAAGCAAGGTGATATTTTATTGTGTAATTTCTATTACAATTGAAAAAAATAAAAATAAAGAAAATCCTGCAAAGCCATTAAAAAAAGTATTTGCCAGTTAAGGAAACCCCCGTTTTTCCTACTTTGACAGACATTCCCGGGTGGTTTCCTTCTCTTTAGGTGTTCCAGGTAAAATTGGCTTTCTTTTTTATTTTTAAATATTTTCTGTAATGCAGAGCCTCATGCAATTATAGCGCATGCTAGTGGAGCTGTTCGTAACTACAACAAGAGCCTAGAAAGTAAAAAGATTAATGGTCCTTCTGTTCCTTTAGATATACAAAAAATATGCAAAAAAAGAAAGGAAAAGAAAAAAAAAGAAACAATGAACAGCATCTCACGGTTACAAACTATATTGTGCTATATAGTGGTATAAAAACATCTTGGTAAGAATGGCACTGAATTCGATCTAGGTTTCTCTCATTCCGGTTTACAATAGAGTGTGGCTGGCCACTGCATGAGCTGCTCTGGTGCCCAGGAGTGGCACCAAATAGGAAACCTTTGAACTCAATCCTCCTGTCTGCTTCCATCACGCAGTCCAAATGGTGGAGGACTCTATGTGGCTCCAATAGGACACTGGAGAAATCCCCCTGCACCAGATTCTGGGACTTGGAATAACTCCTGGGCCACGTGTACTTTCCCCATTAATACTGGCAGAGTCCATAGTCCTGCTTATGACTCATCTTCTCCTGTAGAAACGGTCAGTCGCATTGCTACTGCCACGTGGTCTGTAAGTCCGGCTAGTTGTGTGATGAAACTGTACTCTTCAACCTCCTAGGAGAATAAGAAGTGGACACACATGAATTATGAACTAGGCCTTCAAAGTTCAACTTTTAACTGTTAAAGCAATAGTAGAGTATTGTACTGGGTTAGCCAACGATATAAGTTTGGAGTTTAAGTGATACCCTTTATTGGCTAACTTAAATTATTATGGATGCAAGCTTTCGGGATTTCGAAGATCATTCCATCAGGTTTTATAGTAAAGTATTTATTTATATAAAGAGTATCATTTAAACTCCAAACCGTTAAAGTAGAAATATGGCCTCCAATTAAAGAATATATGTGCTTCAGAACTTCATTAGAAGTGCACCCAGACTTACTGTCCCACTGCAAAGTCCAACAAATACCTGATCCTACCAGTGAAGCTTCCTGTGACGGTGTGGCAACAATGCTGCACTGCTCCTGAATTCAGAGCAGAGTTGCCAGTCTCATGTAGGCTGTGTCTCCTTGCACTACAGTGGGATGATAAAATGTTCCAGGGGGTGTGACTATCAGCATTGTCACTGCTCATTCACAAGCCTGTAGCTTGTCAGACAGCACCTGACCACACCGAGTCCTACCTACTGCCTTCTGGACTGACTCTGTTGCTTAACCCCTCCTGCTGTGAGCTGTAGCATCTGGGAAGGGGTTGTGCACAAATCAGGGACACCCCTGAGCTTTATCATCTCTCATACCTCCTACTTGCTTGTTTTGCTCAGAATCTTCAGCCAGAGATAATTCACATAAAAAGTCAACCATTTCATCCTTTGCACTGGCTTTTTTGATGTATATGTTTGGTTTAACACTTCATCTATACAGTACATGTCAAAATTCACCAAAGACCGATGGTCCTATTATTTTCAGTATGTTGGGGTGAACTGAAAATAAAGAACATAAGGCATAGGGGTCTTACTGTTGTGTACAAAGAAATTGTTGGGGGGCAGAGTACCCCTCTGTGTTGCTTACTAGGGTAAGTGTTCCATGTTAATTGCGAGGTTTCCATATTGCTAGGAAATCCTCTTTAAAGTGGACCTATCATTAAAAATAACACTTCATGTGCTTTGGTTACTCGGGATATTACCAAATATACAGGTGAAACTCGAATAATTAGAATATCGTGCAAAGTTCATTTATTTCACTAATGCAACTTAAAAGGTGAAACTAATATATGAGATAGACTCATTACATGCAAAGCAAGATAGTTCAAGCCGTGATTTGTCATAACTGTGATGATTATGGCTTACAGCTCATGAAAACCCCAAGAACCCCAAATCCACAACCTCAAAAAAGTAGATTATTACATGCAATCAATAAAACAAGGATTGTACATAGAACAATATTGGACCTCTGAAAAGTACAAGCATGCATATGTACTCAGTACTTGGTTTGGGCCCCTTTTGCAGCACTTACTGCAATTACTTTTGCACGATATTCTAATTATTCGAGTTTCACCTGTATTAGTGATATTATTAAATCACATTATGATTTTGAGTGAAAAAGTACCAATTTCTTGCCATGAACAGAAAATGTCTGCTTTTGAGCTCTACTGTGTCCACTAAGCCAAGGCAGAGGTCATGTGTTGCCTTCAGGAGAACTTCGGTTGTTTCATCTCATTAAAGAGTGCAAAAAGTGTGTTAATTTCAATTATACAGCCCCTGTGTGATGGGCTTGCAGTGATATGGGAGAGTCAGCATTGCACAATCAATAAAGAGAACCTGTATTTACATTAAGCAATATGGTCACCCCTCTACATATATAAAATGACAAACTATGCATAGAAATATTTACAAACTGATAAAGATTTTTATTTAAAACCAATAACATACTGTATATCCATAAAAATATTAACTGCCAACCGACCTTCTTTATACATACTTAAACATATGATTCCCAGTCACCTTCAAATAATTGCATCTTGTTATCGAAGCATTGGCCATACATTCTAAATAAACACTTTAAACCGGATGAGGACCACACAAGTTGAGTGATGTTGGACTTCTTACCATTTTCCACTCCATATTGAGCCCCTCTTCAGAATACAACATATAATCAATCCGCCGCCCGCTACCCTTTAATGGAACCTTCCTTCCTTTCTGGTTGGGGCAGTGATTCTTGCTGGTTGGATATACCAGATATTCTTTCCGACCCTCCTCATTTTCCAGGACCCTGGAAGAGATACAAATGTTATATGTCTGGGTGGTTTAGTGGTCAGTGCTTCTGCCTTACATAATAGAGATCCCTGGTTTGAATCCAGGTTTGGCAGGATACTATTGGAATGTGGTTTATGTCTTTTCCTGGTGTGTACATGTGTTTCCTTCCAAACTACAAAGAGATGCTGGTAAGTTAACTTGACTCCTGTGTGTGCATAGATTTCCTTAGAGCAGCCAAACTCTGGCCCTCCAGGTGTAATGGCACTACAAACCCCATCATGCATCTGCCTCTGGAAGTCTTGCAATGCCTCATGGGATTTGTAGTTGCATCACGGCTGGAGAGCCAGAGTTTGCCCACCCCTGCCTTACAGTGTAAACTCTTGAGGGAAAGGACTGATGTGAATAAATAGTATTTGAATGGTCATGTAAATTGGTGCTACAGTATATAAACACCTGTAATAATAAAATAAATGTCCCTATGGTTATATAGGCTGTATAGGTGAGAACTGCCAACACTCTCTCTTGTCAGTGGGAATTCTCTCTGTTCTATGCTATAGCATGATGTATTCCTACACCCTGTTTTATCTGGAGAAATACAATGAGCATTGCACAAGAGCCTGTTAAACAGATTTATAAAGTGCCACTTGAACCAGGAGACAGGTCAGGTTTGCAGACTAGTGGAGCACTATCAGAGCAGTGTCTGGCTACCATAGAGGAGTTTAGGGGTGTTAATAATGCAGAGCATCATTCATGTCAGCCAGAGCAGGGACTGCCCTTCAGTGAAAGTCCAGGAGTTTAGACTGGCCACTTTTATAAATAAAATATATATACAGTACTGTGCAAAAGTTTAGGCAGGTGTGAAAAAAATGCTGTAAAGTAAGAATGCTTTCAGAAATAAAAGAGTAATAGTTTAATCCAAATCAAATCAATATTTGGTGTGACCGCCCTCTGCCTTCAAAACAGCATCAATTTTTCTAGGTACACTTGCACACAGTTTTTGAAGCAACTCGGCAGGTAGGTTGTTCCAAACATCTGGAACTAAGCACAGATCTTTTGTGGATTTGGGCTGCCTCAAATCCCTCTGTCTCTTCATGTAATCCCTGACAGACAGTGCTGTGCTAGAACTCCTGTATTGGAGGTGACAGGGTCAATAAAGAGAACCTGTCACCTCCAATTGCTATCACACAGGGGATTGTTTTCTCCTGTGTGATAGCAATAAAGTTGGGTGGGAAAAAAATTAAATTGATTAAAAATAAATAAATTAATAAATACAAATTTAAAAAATAATATGAAATAATTAAATAAAAAAATAAAAAGGTGATTAAAAAGTAAAAAGAAACAAATTATTAAAAAAATAAGAAAATAATTATAAAAAATAAACAATAATAAGATAAAAA